AAGAGACTAGGCGGACATTAGATTTTTACATATAGTAAAATGGGTTTCTTCAGTAGTATTGGAAACTTCTTCAGAAGAGTTGGAAGAGGTATATGGAATGGAATAAAATCTGTCGGAAGAGGAATTTGGAACGGAGTCAAAAATATTGGTAAAAGAGTAGGTCAGTTTGTTGGTATTATACCTAAAGACCCTGAACCAGAAGAACAAGCTCCTGTTATACAACAGCCTGAACCTGCACCACAGTCAAGTTGGCAACCAAATCCAACACCTCAACCGTATTAAAAAATTATATTTTTATCGTTCGATAGTAGTTGTATATGAAACTAAGTTCTAAGTAAAACGCATGGTATAATGGAATTATTCTTTTTCTTCCATCTGTAGTAAACCATACTTGAAAGTCTGAAATACTTCCACTCGGCGGTTCATATAACTTTGTAGGTTTTTCGTAAAAGTCATTTGCCAAGCATAAGAAAGAGTTTTGGGCGCCAGAAAATGAAGCATGAACAATAATAGCATCTTGGTCGAAAATATTTTCATATGTTCCATTAGGGTTTTCGACTTCATAAAAGTCCGGGTGTACTGGATATTCTGCAGGCTGATTTAACATCCTCATAAATCTATACCATGCCAAGTTGTTATATTTTGTAGAAATATAAACGTTTTCTCCAAGGTCTTCTATTTTATTGATTTTAACAGTTGCATTTTTCCTGTCATAAATAATATCGAGATGGTATTCTCCTTCGTCAATGTTATACTGGTTTGCATATTCGATATAGATATCGTTTATTTTTTCTGAAAAGCTTGAAGAGTTGTTTCTAAGTTTACAAGCAAACTAACTTGTAAAAGTTTCCCTGTTCAAATTTCTCATACATATGCTTCCTTTGTTATAGTATCGAACTTCAAACCGACCGTAAATGGGAAACATGTATGGCTTCTGAAATGAACTTCATTCTACGAAAGCCAATAGCTTTTGTGACGGATGGGTCTCTTAACCATCTTAATGGGTAGTCAAAACGATAGCCTTCATGCTTTACGGTATCTAAGTCAAACTTTTGACCTACATTAGTAAAAAGTTCATCTAATGGTTTAGTTGTAGCAACTCTAGAATTTTCTTTTCTATTGGAAGCATATTTTATCTAGAATAAAAATGTCAAATGAAACAGCGTCTATGAGAGAATACAACACAACCGACAACTCATTATGCAAGCTCTAAATAAGAACACAACAAACTTTTCAAACTATTCTAAGATATCTGAGTCATTGAAAGAAGGAAACTTAAAACTGACAATAAAACCCTATGACAGATGAGTTTCTGTTTCAAGACAATAAGAACCATACTGTCTGTATAAATCCAACAAAAGGAACTTTAAACGAGAAACCTATAAATGAACTTCTTTGAAAGCAGATGTTGACAACAAAGCTGACAAAGAATATGTAGACGATGCAATAGCAAAAGAAGAAGAAAGAGCTAACAATGCTTATGCAACAAAAGAACATACTCATCCTGAACTAGCAGACAAAACATATGTTGGCAATAAAATGTCAAGTGAAGTGACAAGAGCTGAAAACGAATATTCTAAAAAGACTCATATACATTCTATATCTGATATTACAAACTTACAAGAAACATTAGAGACAAAAGCAAATAAGACTCATACACATTCTATATCTGATATTACAAACTTACAAGAAACCTTAAACAGTAAAAGTGCCGTTGGACATACACATACATCTTCTGAAATAACAGACTTAAACGTTAGCCTTGAAAATAAAGCAGATAAAACATATGTCAATGAAATATACCAAAGTTTAGTTGGAACAAAAAATATTGAAACTATTGTTGGTGACTTTTCTGTCAATGAAGAAAATAAATATTTTAGATGGCAGTTGGTACAGTCCTTAGAAAATGGTACACGGTATAAACTCATTCCGAAAAATAACAATGAAATGTATGTAAGCTATAAAAAGAATGATGGTACACAAGTTAAAGTTCCATTAGACAACAACTGCTACTTAAACTTATATGGAGACGAACAAAAGCAATATTTAAGAGTTTATGAAATGGCAGATATGACATTGCCTGACCCATCTCCAGTACCATATTATTATGACTATGGTGTTGACGCACGTGTAGACCCAAAAAAGCAAACATTATATTTAGAATATTATAGATATAAAAGATATAATGCAATAGAAAAAACGAGAATAGTATACTATTATGAAGATGACAGAAATAAATATTATAGTCAAGATTTTACCTACCCTGAAAACATAAGATTATATTATAAAAAATATTCTGACACAAACCAGAAGAAACCTGAAATAGTTGCACTATATTTTAAGTTCAAAAGAGACAATCCTATAATATCTCATATGTTTGATTTAATGAACCCAGTAGGTTCTATTTATACATCTATGGAAGCAAGAGGTCCTCAAGTAATGTTTGGTGTTGGTGCATGGGAACAAATAGTCGACAGGTTTTTGTATTGTGCAAACTCTTCAAAGGAAACAGGTGGAAGTAAAACGATTTCAGGTGAAAATTTACCTGCACATAGTCACTACATAGATTTAAGTACATCTCAAGCAGGTTGGCATAAGCATAAATTTTGGGATTGGTCAGCAATGACAAAAGGTAAAGGATATGATGTTAAAGACAACGTTCAGTTTGCTATAAATTGTTTCTGGGGTAACACTCAGGGAGATGGAAACCATACACATCGCGTTACAGGATATACACAAACAACGGGACAAAGTAAAGAATACATGCCACCTTACATGACAGTTTACGCATGGTATAGAATTGCTTAGTCGTCATTTTCAACTTCTTTAGCATATTCGTCAGGAGTTGTCTTATATTTGTTAGGAACTGTCTTTGAAAGTATACCACCTTGAACTTGACAAGTTTGAAACGAGGTCTGGCAATAGTAGTTTTATCTTCTGCTTGCAGTGTGTACATTTTGCCATGTTTGCCTAAAACTTCATAATATTCTCTTGTATACTTTCTTCTATTTTTACGAACACGAATGTGAGTACCTGTCGGGTTCCTATTGTTGTCATAGTCAATAGTATTTTCATATGGGTCGCGTTTAGGTATTTCTATTTTTACTTTGTCACCTTTCTGAAGTTTGAAGCCCGGCATTCTTTCTTGTTTGTCTCTTTTGACTAAATTATTAAATATATAGTCTTTCTCTAAGTCAGGGTTGTTTTTCATTTCTTCGGGGAGTGGTTTCCTAAACCTTTTTGTTTACGGTTATTGTAAATATTTAAAACTTGTCTCATCTTTGCCTGAGAGAAGTGTCTATACTTGTCGTCATATGACATTTCATTTGCTTCACCACCTTGTGGTTGGTTTAAGTCTCTTAACATTTTTATACAACCGTCAATGACACCAAGAGCAGAATGGTTTTGGTCGACAATGAAATATTGGTTTACATTTTTTGAACGCAGATAGTTTTTTACATCATCTGATTTGAAAGAACTTTCACAGTCAGATGTCAGTTTTGTTGGATGGTATTTGTCAACGAATATTGTCAAAGCAGTTTTCACATCTAAAATATTTTTGGACCATAATGGTATGGCTTCACAGTATCTTGTGTTTTGACCAACAAATATTAACCAGTATGGAGGTCCATCTTCTCTATACCTCGGAATGTTTTCCAAGATATCCATAAACCAAGCATTTGGTGTTGAACTAAAGATTTTTACCATGAGTGCTTTCTTTGTCGCTTTAGAAACATAGGGGTCCTTGTTTGGATTCGTCATTTTTTATCCTATAAGAAATGGGTTTATTTGGCGCATTAGCAGGAGTTGCATCTAGATTTTTACCCGCAGTGGGAACAATAGCCAGAGGTGCATTTGGAATTGGAAGGAAGATTTTGAGTACATTAGGTATACTTAAAGAGAAAGCACAACCTATTATACAAACTGTACAGAAAGGTTGGGATGTAGCACGAGATGCAACAAATCTTATTCCAAATCCTGAAACAAGAGGAAAAGTTCAAGGATGGATGGACAATGTAGGAAGACAAGCAGGAAACTATTATAACAAAGCAAATGACTACTATAACCAAGCAGGACACTATATGGACCAAGGTGAAAGATTCTTTAACAGAGGATATAACCATGCACAACAGTGGGTAAACAATAACCAACCTCAACCGCCTCAAACGTGGGGAATGTAAAATTTTTTACTGAGATGAAATGAACAATACAGCATTGAGACAAATGGGTTCAAGATGGATTTGTCGACTTCCAGCAGTTACACCACGTGTTTGTCAAGTTCTTCCTATACCTCAGGAAGTTTTAGACCGACTTAAAAAACCTAAACAACCAGTTGAAAACAAACCAAACTAAATTTTTTTACTGAGATGAAATGACCGAAGAAGTTGAAACGGTAGATTTGACACCACAAAAAAAAGTTCAGAACCATTGTCAAAACCTGTCAAAGAACTTACAGATGAAGAGAAAAATTCAATAATAGAAAGTGCCAGGTCTGGAAATACAAACCCTAACTACAAAGTCACTTTTCATAAAAATGGAACGGCTAGTATCTCAAAAAAGAAACAGACTCTCACAAATAAAATATTGAAGTCTGAAGGAGCTTCGAGACAACAGATGGAAAAGTTTACTTCACTGACCAACAGTTCATTATAGAACATCTCATTGACTTAGAGTCGAAATATTCTAAACTTTACAACAAACACAAAAAGTTGAAAGGAAAACAAAAACAAATGGCATATGATATTTATGAAGATGTTGACGACACAACTGTTCCTGCAGGTGAGGTAAAGCCAGAGGAACCGAAAAGTGACGAAAAACCGATAGAAGAAGAAAAACCAAAAACTGAAAGATAAACCAAAACCAAAGTTTAGTTTCCAAACTAAACCAAGTCAACCTTCATTAGCTGGTATGGGTTGGCGTCAAAGACTTATGGCAGCAGGCGGTTATGTAAAGTAAAGAAAAAAATATTTTTTATTTTTATAAAAATGCCCCCATATAGAATGGATAGAAAATCTGCTAGAATAAAAGCAGAGTTGCAAAGATATGGTTGGAGAGTTTCGAAGAATTTTAAATATAGGAAGGGAAGACCCATAAAAGTCTATGACAAATTGTCTGGTCTTCGCTACGAAATGGATTTGGAAACAGCACGTGCCAATTATCCAAACAGACTAGAGAGGTTAGAAGAAGAACGTCTTATGGACATGCCTTTCGATGTTAGTGAACCTCAAGTTGAAGGACACGACGGCTTTGCCAGATTCTACTGGAAACATGACGAACAATTGCATCCTTTGAGAAGGAAAAAAGGAAAAGGTGAAGACACACATGCTCCCATGGAAAGAACAAGATATGCATATGAAAAGTATCGTGAAGTTAGAAGTCAAATTACATCTGGTCGAACCTTTACAGTAAACTTTGACGAAGGAAAGAACAAAGAAGGCTTCATGGGAGTACTTGCTGCAATTCAAGACGGAAATAAGAAAGGACACAATCTCAGATTGACCATAACAGATTTGGATGGTCACATTTACTATGCACATGGCAATGAACAAACAGCCGCAAAACTTCTTGACGCTTTCAAGACTACAAAGAGAGAACAAATGGTTGACTCCGACTCAGACATTTTGAATGCAATTGAAGGAATTGCAAGTGTCAAGTTCGAATGGTACCAACCTAACCCTCAAGCAGTCAGACAACATGCTGGATCCTTCCCGTTCATAAATAAGTCTGACATTGACTTGACAAGGTATGGAATTTACAATTCAATTGAAACAATTGTCAATGAACCTTGCATTCTTACATGTCTCAGGAACTCTGGTCTTGTTACAGATGAGAAGATGAAGTATCTTGAGTCATGTGTGAAGACAAGGTACATTCTCAGAGGTCAATTGGCAAAAATTGCACCGTTGGCAAATGTCAATATCCGAGTCAACATACCTACAGCTAAAGGTTCTTCACATGACGACTATGTTGTTGAGTTCAATTTACCATGGTTGAAGATTGTAATTGTCCACAACCATTTCATGTTGAACGAAAGTCTTACAAACCCATTGTTCGGAAAAGGCAAGTGCAACATTGTCAGAGCTGTAAACATTCTTTTCGAGAAAGGTTTGTTGGAACCAATTCCAGATGACAAGCTGACAGAAACTTTTGTACCAAAAGACGAAACAAACTTTTCATTGTTAGCAAGACCAAAAGTTGTTCCAGACAAAGTTCTAGTACAAAAGAAGTACACAGTTCCACAAGGAGTTGGTATGTTCGGATACCAACCTGAACCAGAAGAACTTCCAATGAGGTTGCAAGAACTTCAAGATGCTATAAACAAACTTCCATTGAGACATCCAATTGACGTCAAATTGTATTGGAGAGCATCTGAGTTAGGTCAGAAGGTTTTATATGAAACAGGTTGCTTCGACGATGTTTATGAGATAACAGGAGAAGTTTCTCAGAAGATAAGAGACTCACTTGAATTTCCACAAACTGGACCAATTGGTTGCGACAAGTTCGACTCAGATGAAAAGATATACTATGTCGACCTTAACGCCGCATACATGAGGTTTGTCCAATATATTCCGACTGGAATTCCAAACGAAGATGGTGAGTTCCCGGGAAGGAACTATACAGTTGGAAAAGTTATACAACAACTGTATGATATTAGGAAAGCTTCAAACCCCAAACTTGCAATGACACTCAAATTGCTTATGAATTCGACATGGGGATATTCCATTAAGAAACCTCAAGAGATGAAGAGTAAACATTATGAGAAGGTCGACAACTTTGTTGAAAGGTTTTCTCCTTTTGTTTTGAAGTACGAATTCACTCAAGGTCAAAGTGGCTTAGTAACCACATTAAAACCTATTGTCGAACATTGGTCTTACCCTCAGTTCGCAAAGGCAGTCCTTGACGAGTACAACAAATTCTTCTCCGAAGTCAAATCCAAAGTTGTGGTTTACTATGAGAACATTGACGCACTCATGACGAACGAAGAAGGATACAACAAACTCATTGAAATGGGTTTAGTCGGTGAAAAGATGGGCTGTTTTAAGCTAGATAAGGTATTTTCCGAAGTTCATGTAATATCGAAAAGGAAATATTGGGGTATACTTGAAGACGGCACAGAAATAAAACATTGCATGAAATAAAAAATTTATTTTAAAAAAAGTGACATTTTTTTTATTTTATTTGAAATGTACGCTGAGTTTGTTGGAGAAGACCGCTGGGAAACTTGTTTGTTAGATGAGAAATATGAAATGGCATACCATTTTAAAACAATATATTTTTACATATATTAAATGCTTCAGGTTGAAAAACAAAGAACAAAAGTAGCAGATACAAAACCGTTAGACTATATCTTTACAAATGCTGGTAGGACTATTTCAGATGAAGAAATTTCATCCCGAGCATACAGGTTTGACTATCCAATTCGTTGGCTTCAAAGTCCTTCAGATGCAAAGGCAATAGGATTTAGAAGAGTTTTGTTTTCAAATAGAACTAACGCATTTATGTTCGCAGTATATTTTCATGGGCAGTATAAAGGTTCTGATGGTCTAATAGACAAATTTGACGAAATGAGAATCTTTACAGTTCGTTCAGACGAAAGTCTTGAGAAAACTCTAAATGACTTTCAAACTCAAATGAACAAATATTATTGGGAATTTCAAGAAAAATACGACTCTTTACTAAATGGAACATACTATCTGAAACTAGAATATGACAAGATGAACTCCACCGTTTCATTTCAAAAGATTGAAATTAACCCTCCAAGAGATACAGAGTTTTTATTTTGGAAAGTAGACAAACGTTCTTGGGCACAATTTCTTCGGTTACTAAACCAGAACGAACCATTACCACCAGATGGTCCATTTAAATTTATACTTCCACCAGCAGATTTGACAGTTTATAGAAACGTGTTTGACCCTCAAAATGTTATGTGTCATGCAAGTTTCAGTTCAAGCAACAATAGTTTTCTATGTATTGGTAAGGACTTTTATGACTTTGCTTCTAAATTCTACGAACCACCTAGTAACAGTTTCTCTGACTTTCAAGTTTGGTTCACAACAAATGGTGTGCAACATATTATTCCATTGTACTATGACTTTTATCTCGAATTGTCTTTCATATATAACTACGGAAAAGTGCTGAAAAAGTATTGAAAAATAATGTTTAGGTGAAGAGGTGAGATCTCACCTGTTTTTTCACCTGTTTTCTCACCCTCTTGAATTTTCATGAAAACAATTTATTTTTGACACTTTCACAAAAAACATTAAAAAGTGAGTTAAAATGAGATGTTTACTGAACTGGTTGGATGTCGCCTTCACAGGTTATGTAGAATGGTTGACCAAAGAAGTGGAACAGTGCTCTGAGAATTTGTATAATTCGTGGAATTGGACTCTCTCTGTTTGGAAGTTGTATCCATGGGCGCTTTGCAAAGAACTTGAGAAGATCTTCTTTCTTCATCTCCTTTATGTCGTCTACAGGAGTGTTTTCTGGTATTTGAATTGGAATTCCGGTTTCAATTTCGATTTTCAGCGCACCTCTTCCAGACAACCAGAAGCCGAGGGACTTGTTGGCTTTGTCCTTGCCCAAGTACTGCTTAACAACTTCATTTATCTCTATAAGGTAAATTGCCTCATCTAATGGCTCGATGTTGTCCATTGTACTGCTTCAGAACAATACTTGTACTGTTTCAGAACAATACTTGTACTGTTTCAGAACAATACTTGTACTTTTTCAGAACAATACTTGTACTTTTTCAGAACAAATTTCCCGTAAAAGCTCTCAATTTGTGAGAAAAATTTTCTGTTTCAGAACAATACTTGTACTTTTTCAGAACAATATTTGCACTGCTTCAGAACAATATTTGTACTGCTTCAGAACAATACTTGCACTGCTTCAGAACAATACTTGCACTGCTTCAGAACAATACTTGCACTGCTTCAGAACAATATCCGACGTCCCACCAACCGAGTCCATTCCCAAAACAGAGGAACCTAAAGAACCACAACAGTCTCCTCAGCAACCTCAGTTCCAGCAAGTACCTCCGAATTACTACCAATTTCCACCTCAAGGTTACTACCCACCACAAGGCATAGGCTAGCCTCCTCAGCCTATGCCTTACTTCCCCAACCCTTGGTTGTTCCAGCAAGCTCCACCCCAGCAATTCCAATTCCAATCTCAGTCCAAGAGAGACCAAGAGTTCGAGGAAGGTCTGAACCGCTTACGCAAAGAGTATGCTACAGCTCCATTTGAGAGAAAGTTGTTCCCGGACCAAAAAAAATAATGTTTAGGTGAAGAGGTGAGATCTCACCCGTTTTTTCACCTGTTTTCTCACCCTCTTGAATTTTCATGAATTTCCCCGAAATAAAAAATAAAGTTAGTTTTATTTTATTTATTTTTTTTATTTTTATTGTAAGAACATGTTAGCAACAACAGCACCAAACTCGTTAGTCATGAATCCAACATCTATGTTAGTAGAGATGAAAAGCTTTATTCCTTCTTCATATACTTTCGAAACAGAAATCCAGAAGATAAAGCAAGAACTTTTAACAAGTAATTTAGACTGTAGTGCGAAAGATGAAACAAATGAACAGTATCTTTATGAAATGCAGGACCTCATCGACCATTTGCCTAAACTACCTGAAATTCAGCAGCAAAAACTCACTATTCCTGAATTCGACGAAATTGAAGTGAAACCAACTGACTCAGTAGAAATAAAGAAGTTCATACGAAAGGTAAATTATGAATTCCTTGGTTTTCATTGCGACATGGTTTATAAAAATATTTCTGACATATATAAATCTGGGGAGTTTAAGACATACGACAACTTTGTTTCATTAGTTGCAGAATGTGTATGGCAGATAAGAGATAAAGATAGAAGAGGTAAGGTATGGCATGAACAGATAAAACCAACTGCTTCAGATTTAAAGAAAACCATTGACGCTTTAGTTGTTTTAGCAGGTAAGGTTTCAATGTATAACGCAAAAATGAACCCGCAATGTTCTAAATGTAAAGCAGCAATTAGGAAATATAACTACTCCGTCAAAGAGATAGAAAGAATGAGAAACGACTATGCAGACTTAAAGAAAGAAGTAGAGAAGCCGGTTGAAAATAAAATGGACATGTCAGAATTTCTGAATAAAAACTATCCAACTGCTGACGATTTCCTTCTATCTGACGTCAAGAAGAAGTATAAAGAAACTTTCGGCATTGTTAAAACATTCGATGTACTAAAAGAAGAAATAAAAGCTACAAAACTGTTTAAAGTCTCACGAATTCATAACGTTTACCATGTAAAACGCTTATAAAATAACTGGGGTGAAAAATTAGGTGAGAAAATGGGTGAGATCTCACCTCTTCACCTAAAATATATTTTTGCCGAAAAAAATGACCAAAAATCATGATATAACTGTTATTTTTTTACGAAGAGAACTTTAACACTTCGTCAAAAAAATCCCTGAAATCGTGAAAAAATGACCAAAAATCATGATATAACTGTTATTTTTTTACGAAGAGAACTTTTACTCTTCGTCAAAAAAATCCCTGAAATCATGGAATTTACACCAAAAATCATGATATAACTGTTATTTTTTTACGAAGAGAACTTTAACACTTCGTCAAAAAAATCCCTGAAATCGTGAAAAAATGACCAAAAATCATGATATAACTGTTATTTTTTTACGAAGAGAACTTTTACTCTTCGTCAAAAAAATCCCTGAAATCATGAAATTTACACCAAAAATCATGATATAACTGTTATTTTTTTACGAAGAGAACTTTAACACTTCGTCAAAAAAATCCCTGAAATCGTGAAAAAATGACCAAAAATCATGATATAACTGTTATTTTTTTACGAAGAGAACTTTAACACTTCGTCAAAAAAATCCCTGAAATCGTGAAAAAATGACCAAAAATCATGATATAACTGTTATTTTTTTACGAAGAGAACTTTAACACTTCGTCAAAAAAATCCCTGAAATCGTGAAAAAATGACCAAAAATCATGATATAACTGTTATTTTTTTACGAAGAGAACTTTTACTCTTCGTCAAAAAAATCCCTGAAATCGTGAAAAAATGACCAAAATTCATGAATTTCCTTAAGATAGAAAAAATAAAAATAAAGTTAGTTTTATTTTTATTTATTTTTTTATTTTGTATGTAAAGATAGAAATGACAAACATTGAGTTTGAAACAGTTAGAAAGATAGACAATGTCACCAAAATGGTTAGAATAGGTGATTTAAACGTAAGATACTCAAAGAAATACAACAAATATTCTTTGTCAGACATTATATCTCCATCTGGAAAGAGAGCAATAGACTGGGTTAGAATTGCTTCTACTCAGAAAATTTTGACAAGAAATCCTGAGCTTATGATATCGGTAGCATTTTATGGAACAAGAGCATATCTTATAGACAAAAGTCTTATACCAATAGTTTTGTTATGGTTAGACCCAGTTGTTGGATATAACTTCATAACATATGGTTCATTCGATACGGAACGTTGCAGTGAAGGCTTACTTTATATCGTTCAGAAACCGAAGGACTTCAACACAAAAAGATATAAGATAGGAAGGACATATAATATAACTAAAAGATATGACAGTACAGTCAATAGAGTTAAGGTTGTGTTTGTAAATGATATGAGAGCTGCAGAAACAGAACTACTTGAAAAGTTTGAGAAAATGTATGGTGCTCCCATGAAAGGTAAAGAAACTTTCGAAGTAGATGAGATAGATAAAGCTATAAAATTATTTGACGAAGTTGCTGAAAAATACATGTAAAGCGTTTATTTTTGGTCTTTTGTGAAAGATAGAAAAAATAAAGTTTACCATGTAAAACGCTTGTGAAATAACTGGGGTAGAAAAGAGGTTAGAAAAGAGGTGAGATCTCACCTTCTACCCTAAAATATATTTTTATTGAATTCAGCACAAAATTCATGAATTTCCTCATATGCTTGCTTCCCTCGGAAAACCGAGAGAAGAGATTCCGTATGAAAACAGTGAAGAACAGCGAGTAGGTAAAAAACCCTGGTCGCCAAAACTCATGAAAATCGTGAAAAATTGCGACCCAGACTTTTCTCTGGGTCGCCTAAAACTCATGAAAATCGTAAAAATTTGCCAAATGGTTTGAGAGGTTGGTATGTACATAGACTTCTTGTAAATGCTGTTGCAATGTGGGCTTCGCCTAAAATATATTTTTATTGAATTCAGCACAAAAATCATGAATTTCCTTAAGATAGAAAAAATAAAGTTAGTTTTATTTTTATTTATTTTTTTATTTTGTATGTAAAGACAGATATGTCAACAACAGAGAACACAACAACAGTTATAGTCCATGAAGCTATAAATGAAGAATATGAGTACATACAGTATAACAAACAGTTACGTCTCATTCGTTCAGTCAAAGATGACATGTACCAAATGCAAAGTATTTTGACAGCATGTTATGCTCCAGATACTAAGCTTCCTAAAGACTGGTTTAGGAACCAAAGCACTATTGAACTATTAAATGAAGCACAGCGAGACATACTTTTTTCTGAAAACAGTGAAGAACAGCGAGTAGGTAAAAAACCCCAGTCGCCAAAACTCTATGAAAACAGTGAAGAACAGCGAGTGGGAGAAAAACCCCAGTCGCCAAAACTCTATGAAAATCGTGAAAAATTGCCAAACGGTTTGAGAGGTTGGTATGTACATAGACTTCTTGTAAATGCTGTTGCAATGTGGGCTTCGCCTCGTTATGCTTGGTATATTTACAGACTTCTTGACGAAATTCACAGACAAGAACGTGAAGAGCTAGAGAACAAGCTTGAAGCAAAAGACAAAAGCATTCAGAAAAGAATACCACGTTCGGTACCAAAAGGAAAGGAAAAGAACTATAAGTATATGATTTATACTGAAGAGATGGAAAATGAAGAAGATAAAGATATGGTTATGTTGCATTTAGTCAGAAGAAACAACAAAAGCTTTTACGACCTTGCTAAGATTTACAAATCTGACAGAAATTGGTTCTATCGCGAAAACTTACCGATTTCAATGACACCGAATGAAGATGTGAAACAAATAGTTCAAGATACTTTACCTCAAACACACTATGATATTAAAGGTTGTACAATTCTTACCTTCAAAGAAGATTTGCCATTGTTAAAGGAAAAAATAACAGAGTATTTTGACAACTTCAAACAAGTAGAGTAAATTGCACTCTTTATTTTTACGCTTGACTTTTTACAATTTGAACTTTGTTTGCGTAGATATGAATTCTGAAAGAAGTATGAGGGTCTTGTATGACTTTATACTTCTCCCATAGTTCATGTCTGTCAAACTTACCTGCCATGGACTCTTTCATAAGTTCCATGAAATCGTCTTCGGACAATCCGGGGAAAAGTATTATGTCAGTAAGTATTCTTTTAACATCCTTACTTAAACTCTTTGCTGTCTGTACACAAATGACAACTGAGATGTTAAAGTGTCTGAGCTTCTTAAGAATTCGACACATATCTTGTTCTCTGTTCTTTAACAAAGGATGAGAGGCGAAATCATCTAAGATAAGAAGACATCTATGAGGGTAAGTCTTCCAATCGTAAGATTGCAATTTCTTCGAAATGTATTCTATCTCTTTCTGTTTGTTTCTGAAGTGTTTCTTCTCTAATATTCTCTGCATTTCCTCATTTGGGTCTTTAAACTTCGAATTTATATACTCATTTATAGCATTATACTTCAAAACTCTTCTTTGGTACTTCTTTATCCAATCCAACAACTCAGAGTCTTTTATACATACTAACTTAGACTTCTTTATAATATCTTTGAACGAATTGACGGTTTGGTCAAATTGACCAGAAGTCGAACAAATGACTACTAACTCATAGAATGGGTTCTTCTCATCTAGTTCTTGTTGTTGTGCAGCCATTTTAAGATAAGTGAAAGTCTTACCCGACCCAGGTGGTGCAATTAGACCTGTTATACCATTCTGAGCAAATAAGAACTTTTCATGTATAGGTTTTATCTGAGCATTTTCTAACTTCACCTTGTTCTTGTTTAAAACATTCTCAAATTTCTTGTCAATGTCAGCAAACTTTTTTTCTAACATATTTTTAGAAAAATTAAAATTTTTATCTTTTAGAAAATGTCTAGCGATTTCGCTATCTATATTCGAGACAAGCTTTTCGACAGCAAAACATCTGTCGACCATAAAATCTTACATAGTGTAAACAAGAAAGGTGAATTTGTTCTAAAGTTCTGTTTCTGGGAATATGACAAGAACCATAAAACATTAAGCAGAACAGTCTTAAAATTTGTCAATGACAGACTTGTTGACAGAGATGACGCCGATTGGAAAGATGAAGTCCAACAAAAGTTCTTAGAATGCAAAGAAGACACATGCGCTGTTCTTGAAGATGAAATAGAAAACAGAATAGAAGAGCTATTAAAGGACAAAGAACTTTTACATAAATATGGTTGCGCCAAATTTGACATAACTCCACCAGAAAAGAAGAAGAAAGAAAAGAAAGAAAAGAAAGTAGAAGAAGAGAAGAAAGAACCTGAACCAGTTCCAGAGAAGGGGAGATATGACATGTAAAAATAAAATTTTATTTTTAGAACATTTCTGGGTCAATGTCAATGTTCTCTTCCTCTTTAGGAGTAAACACTGGCTTAGACTCTAAAATCTTTTTACCCAATTTACCTTGAACTTCTACAACTTTAGACTCATAATATTCATAGTCGTCTGCTTTCTTTGGTTCATAAGGTATAACAAGTTTGTATGCTTTGCCTTCTTTAAGGTTTGAGAACCTTCTGTCAAAACTTTCTTTAACTGTTAACAAACCTTCTATGTCTAAGTCTTCAAATTTCGCACCATTTTTAGTCACAATAGCAAACTTAACTGGTTCGATGTTCCAAACTTTGCTGAATGAAGACTTTTCAAAATGGTAGAAGTAAACATTCAAATATGTGAATGGGTCTAGTTCTTCTTTAAGTCCTGACATGTACTTATTTACTGAGATGAATTTTGCCATCTTTTTCTATCGGATAAAAAAATATTTCTTTTTTAAAATTTACTCAGAAAAATTTTTCTTTGTATATACACCATTCTGAACGTCTAAAAGACTTTTGACATTTGCCAAGAATGTTCGTTTAGAAGCTGTCATATAACCATATTCTTGACAATATTGTTTATACGAATCGTACAATGACCTTTCATCTAAACACTCAAAGTCAGTTTCATCTATGAACAGTTCATATACACTCTTGTTTGCTTCTAACAATGTTTGTCTCTCTTCGGTATGTGGAATTTGTCTTGGATTGAACTTAGAA